TTCTTGAACTTTTTTGTTTTTATAAAAATTTTAGGTCAATTTCATGACTATAATATTCTTTAAATATTATTATTGGTAACCCTAATTTAGAAAATAAAAAAAAAAACGAACAGAAAAGAAATATAAGTATTAAAAAGTAAAAAAAAAAAATTTTAATAATAAAATAAAAAAATAACTGTAACAAAATGTTTTTAAAAACATTTGGATCACAAGTTTCTTGCAACAAAAGTACTAATAAAAATAAATAATAGAGGTCGTACTTTTTAAATACAAGCGCATATTTATAGCAATATACATACCTATAGATACTCCATTCTATCATATTTAATGGGTCTAAAAAAAAAAAAATAAGAAAAAAATTAAATAAAAATGTGGATAGGGTACAGAGAGAATGAGAAAAAAAACTGAAATTGAGAGCGGATTTCAAGATTTCAATATAAATTTATAAAAAGGGGCAGCAAAAATACAAACAATAAAAAAATAGATGTATTGAAAAACAGGACCTTCTAAATCTTCGTTCTCTTCCGAGCCCTTCTATTTGTCCACCATTATTTTCTATTTCTCAAAAAATTAAAAAAAAAGACCAAAAAAAAAAACCGTATGATAAAAGGAAAAATAAAAACAAATAAACAAGAAAATTTTTAGTAACGGTAGAATGGTGGTGTGAGCCAATTTCAATTCTATTACTTTGCTGAAATGGCAAGAAATTAAAATTGAAATGAATAAGGATGTTATTTTTATTATATTTTATTTTACTTTATGTATTTCAAAATTTATTTTTTTTTTTGCTTGCCTTTTTTCTTTTTTTTCTGATTTTCTTTTTGTATTTTTGTTCTTTTGTTATGTTACTTTTGTTTACTTGTTTTCTTTATATTGATGATTAAACTTAAAAGTCTGCTAGGATCTTTGGTTCCTTTTTAATTTGATTAACCCAAAAACACAAAGATGACGAAAAAAAGAATGTTTCAATATTTAAGCTACTTGAAATTGTTTTTAAGTCAAATTGAAATTTATTTTAGTATGCTTTACTATACTAGTTAAAGTTCAGCTTAGAAGCTTTGAACGTCGCACGTGTATTACAATGGTAAATAAAAAATTTTTCACCAGGTATAGTCCAAATCCAAGTTATAAAGGTATAAGGAAGCCATAAAACTCTTTGAGAAATCGTAGATAACACTTCTGTTTGACGTTTACCACACCTTGGTGGCGACACTACCGCGTTCATAGAAAAATTTGGAATTTAATAACACTGTGAATATTTAAATAATATGGCATCATAAATGTGAACTTCGTTTCCTTATACATTCGTGCAGTCAGTTCGGCTTGTTTTAGGAAGCTTATAACTATCCAATCGGGAAAGTTCACCGCAAAGTTGTTGAGCATAAACAGAAACCGGGTTCGCGCGATTTCCTTTACGGGGCACTGTCCGGTGAAATAGTATTTGAATAAGTTGGGGAAATTTTGACTCCCTTTTGAGTAGATTTTGTCGGGCCGGTGACGAAACCGCCATGCATATCATTGACACTGCCCGGTACTGGCTGTCTGATGTCGTATTTGCTTCTAATAGGTTTTTCTAACCGTTGGAATTGCCGCTCAACCTCCTTGAGGATATCTACAACTTTACACTTTAAACGGGAATACTATAGGTGCGAACGAGGGAATTGACTCGGTTCCTTTCAAAAAAACTCCAGAAAATCTACAACAACCCACGTGAGTTTTAGGCTTAACTAAAGCTCTCATTATTAATAGGTCTTAAGACTTAACGAGTCCGTCTCTATTGCCGCTTCATGATTTTTAACTACTGATCTAATATTGAGAGAACTAAACCAGGAACAGAAACAACCAATTTTAAACTAAATTTTTTTATATTATAATTACAGTGAATTTATTTGGAACGTATCGGGGCTATACTATAAACTATTTATGTTTTAACATATGGGAATGATTTAAATCGCTCAATTCCGAAATTTTTACATAATTATTACTATCACACTGCACCTTAATTTGCTTTTCAGAATTTGCCATTACTCATATATTACGAATTTCTTAAATGCAGGAATCCAATACACAATTGGCCTTTCTAATTTTCTTATAAAATTTTTTTTCTTATAACTTTGCAATTTCTTTAAATATAAATTACATAATAGCTCAAAAGAAGAGCTTTTTAATCCAGAGAAATAAAAAAAAAAAAAAAACAAAATATTTATATATGTATGTACAATTTTTTTTTTACAAATAAAAAAAAAAGTCTTTAAAAATTTTGTTTTATGAAAAAGAAAAAAAAAATAAAATGAAAAACAGTAGCGTTTTATTTTTAATACCCATTCATTCAACCATCGGAACATCCTTCAATATAACATTACATGTATATATAATATTTTCTCCTATATTTATGCAATATATCATATTATGTACATGAATTTTGTATATATAAAATGTAATTGTATTTCTCATATAAATTTCATATAAAAAAATGAAAAGTTGCTTTTTTATTGATGTTAGAAGAAAAACAAGAAAAATCGGTTGTAAAAATGAAAATTGCTAACAGTTTTATGATTATTAGAAAATTTTGTTTTATTTTTTTTTGTTATTTTTATATTTTATTATCATTTTGTTTTTTAATATTTCTTATTTTTTTATTTTATTCTTCTTTTATTTTTTTGTTCATTTGTTCATTCAAAGCAATTTTCTAGTTTAAGACTCCTGTTTTGTATTCTATATACGCTTCATTTTGCGTTACAAACAAGCAAACTCTCAAATGTACGCATCTTGTATATGCATAAAATATACTGTTATATTTGTAGATGCAAAAAGCTTTTTATAAATAACATTCTTATCTGTTAAATGTCATCTGAAGGCTAATTTATTCAAAAATTAGATTATCCATTAAATGTACATTTATATTTTTTTTTTCTTCTTTGTATACATATATGTATGTGTATATAAGGTCCTGAAAGGGATATATATAGGTAATATTAAAATATTATGTGAGGGCGAAGACAACAGAAAATAAAAAGAAAATATTGTGTTCTTCTTTTATTTGTTGATTGTTTTGTTTTCTTTTTTGGATTTCGTTACTTTTGAGCCTTTTAATGCCGATACCATTTACTTTGACTAATATAAGATGGCCATTATGACTTTTAGTGTTAAATTTAAAAATACAAGAAAAAATTTTACTGTTTTCTTTTCTTTTTTTTTTTTTGATTCTTTTAAAATTGTTTGTGACATTGGTATAATTTGTATGCTAATTACAATTTTAAATGAATTTGAAAATTTTTTTTATAGTCTTTTGTTTTTCTAAATTTTTTATTGTACAGTTTTTTTTTTTGTTTTTTTGTTACAAATTAATTCGAAAACAAGAAATTTTTTAAATTGATTACAATGTTGGCGAGATGGAAACAAAAATGATGACAAAAACAAAGTAAAGGATTTTTTACTTTAACTTGTCTGTTGCAGAATAACGGAAATAATTTTTTAACTGATTAGGGCTATTAAAACCAAGTAACTGCACAATGAAAGGTGGTTAATGAATTTATTTCCTATTCCCTATAGAATAAAATAGAATAATTTTTTTTTCACAGGAAGTCCATAATGTGGAATTGGAGGCAATGAAAAACTTATTTGTCACTCCTTAAAATAGGAAATTAAAGTGGCTATTGTATTTCAATTTTATGTGTATTTTTATAAATATTAGTTAGAAATTATAGGTGACTCAATTTAACATTTGTTTTAACAGTTTGCATGTTAAACACCTTTGCAAAATAAATTTTCGTCTCTATTCAAATTATTCAACATTAAGAATATTCTTAGCATGGAAATAATATTATTTTCATTAATTTCCTTCGATGTAACTGTAAATTGAGCGTTTTATAACATAAAATTGAAAATACTAATTATTGCTATATTGAAAACTTTACAAATACAAAAACCTAGTCAATATAATTTTCCCTGATTTTGCAAACTTTCAATCCATTTTCAATGGCATCGCACTTAACCATATGGAATGAAGGATATCTGAGACTATATGATAAGTCCTTTTTTTAGAATTTTCATATTCAACGTGCTCCACATATTCATGTAGTTCAAGTATTCTTATTACAATAGCATTTTGTTCTAAAATCTTTCTGGGGACCAAATAATAATCTGAGATAGTCACCTTTTTGCATTTTTATTTTCGAAATAAACCAAAAACATTATTAAATTTAAATTCGGTCGATAACAGTAACGAAAAAAGAAATTTATAATTTTGTATATCATATTGTGTGTTATACTTGTAAAAATAAAGCAAATTATATGATGGATTACTTTTATAGGCGATCTTCTTAATTTTTTATTTCCCCGTTGATTAAAAGGCATATAAAATTCAAATAATTACGAGGAAAAATAACCTTTAAAAATTTATAAGATGAATATTGTATACTTAGAAAATGTATATACATACATATCTATAATATTGAAATATTAAAATAAATTAAAGAAACTAAAAATGAATAATGAAAATTAGATTCATGATCAAATTCCGTTTTAACTTAATATTTATTATATAAAAGCATAACTTCTTCTGATTATAATTGGGAATACATACAAAAAGAAATTATTTAAGAATTTTATGTACAATAAAGAAGAGTTCAAGTGTTTCTTATGTAAAATCTCTGTGTATTGCGGCAATTGAGTTCAGAAAATGGGACGCAAACATAGTGAGAGAGTTGCGATTTTTGAATATTTTTTTAGCATATTATATAGTATGCACACTTAATTAGAATTGAGTAACTTAAACTAAAGCTTAAACTAAATTTCATTAATTATTTAAAGTAGACATGAACAGCTTCGAAAAAACTTTAAAAACTCAAATGTAAATTAAAAGATTTTTGGAAAAACCTTGAATAACAATTTGATTTAAGATAAGTAACAGAAGTAGCAGATTTTTTTTTTTCATAATTTTTAATATGACATACCTTCAACCATCAATTAATTTTCTCGATAATACAAACTCATCTAAATAGACTTAAACACAACATAATTCATTTTTATTAAAATCACACCAATAATTAATTATAAATTTAGGGTATACAAGTATTTATGAATAACTAAGGACATGTAAACATTATAATGCTAACCTTTTACATTACTTTCTTTTACTTCTTCAATAACATTTTCACTAAATTTCTGTATAGTTTCTTGTACACTACTAACTTTTTGTGCTCCTGGCATCCATGTTGAATCATTACTATTATTATTATAACTATTATTATTATTAGCTATTGATTGTTTAGTTTTTTTTAATGAAGTTATTGTAGAATTTTGATTACAATCGAGTCCATTAGTTAATTTTTGTTGCTCATTCAAATATTGTCTATATTGTGCAGCACCATTAAAAACAACTTTTTTAACAGCATTTCGTGCTCTAGCTGTTATAAATCTAAAATGATTATGAAAAATTATATGAAAAAATTTAATTATAATTTGAATTTATTTAATTTTATTTACTCTTGTGATTCTACTAGCCATCTCATAAATGAAGGAATTATAACTTTTCTTTTATTTTTCAAAAATTCTGTAACTATTACATTGGCAACATACGAGGCTTTAAAAGCTGGCATAAGTTTTAGCGAACTGGGGAAAAAAAAAATAAAAAATTCACTCTCACATTATAATTACATGTTATACGAATGCTACACGACATATAAATTTGTTTTGCTGTTGAACTTACCCACTTTTTTCTAAGAAATCACATAATTCATCATTAGTAAATATAAAATGTGGAAAAATAGTTGTCATATGAATGCAATCTTCAAGATTTTCTATAACTATATCCGTTTCAACAGAGTCCATTAAACCACGTACACCAAATTTTGTTGCAGAATAAACATTTGATATTGGAACACCAGCTAGACCTATGTATGTATGTATATATAATTATTTATATGTAAAACAAATTGTATTAAGGATTGAAATTAGAATCTTTATAGATTGTCGATATTAGAATTTTAGAAAATTTAATAAAAAATTTTATTTAGTTTGATGCTAAAGCATTTGCTAATCCTTAAATTGTTGTAATAACTACCTGCAATTGAAGCAATCTGAACAATATGTCCACGTTTTCTTTCTTTCATGCCTGGTAAGAAAATTCTTATAGTCTAAAAAGAAAAAGATTTTAAAGTTTAATTAAATTTATTATAAACATTATATTTTTGCATAGTTACCCAAATATTTGACAATAAATTAACATCAACAATTTTCCTTAAATATTCAGGTGAATAATGTTCCAAACCTTTAACTGGTGTTAAACCGGCATTATTTATAAGAATATCAACAAAGCCTAAATCTTTTTCAATTTTTGGTTTTAAGTTTTCAATTTCAGAATAATTTCCGACATCAGCCTGTAAAATTTAATAATTAATAATATTATGTTTAAAATAAAATATAGAATTGTTTAAGAGTTCAAATTCGTATTTTAGAAAAGTTTATGCAGTGCAAGAAATTTATAAAAAATATGAATTTGATTTATATACGAATTCTCACAATTGAATTAGTTTGTATTATGCTTCAATTTATAGTAAATTGAATTATTATCGGAAAATCTTGATTTCAAATAACTTCCGGACTTAGTAAAGACCATATAGATTCAAAGTAATTTAACATAATTTTCTTAATATTTGGTTTGTAGTGGCGTTAACATTCATGTAGTCACAATAGATTAATTTGTGTAATAATGGCATATTACAGTATTTAAAGTTACTCTTTATGCGATTATAATTTTCATTAAATTCTTGATAATCTTTCATAAATTGAGAAGATCTAACGCAGATTATAATACAATTACTGAATCATTCAATAGTATTTTGGACAAAGTATTTGTATACTATTCATTATAATGATAACAATATTAATTTATTTTATAATAAACAAGTCAAGCGTCATATTTAATAATATTATTTTAATCCCGGAATATAAAAAATTTAGTATGCTCCAAACAATGTTATTCATAAAAGCCCTCCCTTATCAAAAGAATGTAATCAATATGTTTATAAATAGTCGGCTTAATAGCAATATTTTTTGGAAATTATAAATTGATAAGAAAATTGTACATTAGACTTATAGATTAAAAAAAAATTGAAAAATTTATTTCAAATATCAGTGACTCTGCTTTATAAGTCACAAAATAAGGTAATTAATAAATATTACTGTAATTACAATTGATTTAATGCAATCTATCACATCTGTTATTCTTATATATTATAATAATTGTAATAATTATAATCAATGTATAAGAAGACAATTTAATTAATTTCTAATTAGGTAATTGCTAATACAAAATCACAATCAATAAGAGTAATGTTGAAAACTTTCGTCCGACACCAATTAAATAATAATTATCTAAGGTCAATGTTAGTTCTCAACTGATAACAAGCTGTAAAATTATTTTATTATTACGAAAATTATTATTGATAATACTATATTCAAAGTCTAAAATTTAAATTTTATTAACAAAATTATAATATTTTACATAATATGTGTAACACATCTGCATATGGGGTAATTAACAAAATTCCATACGTCATTATTTTATGACTTGGAAACGTTGAGAATTGCATTTGTAGCAATATAACAAATTCAAATATGAAAGTATTTTAATAAATATTTAGCAAGATGCTAAAGGGAACTAGAACTTACATTATATTTAAAAAAATCTAATAATATCATTAATAATTTTAAATGTTGTACTATTTAAGAAAAAAAATACTTTTAATTAATTGTAATTAAAAGGTTAATATCTAATTTAAATAACTAGTTCATTAAATAATGCATTAAAATAATGAGTTAATGTAATTTTACTAGAATAACAGGTTTACAGTATATAATTGCTTAGTTCAAAATTAATGTTTTAATTATTATAAAGATGAATTTACATATTATGTGGAATCTTTTTACCCCACCTAATAAAATTGAAAATCGACGTGGGATTAAATAAAATTACTTTAATAGAAAATTAAAGATCAGTCCGATTATGATATTAATGAGAATAAAAAAATAATTGATGAGTTTAATTGACGACGTTTTCGGATCACCACTAAAATAAACGGACCGGCTAATGAACAAAAAGCAAAGTACATAATACAACAATTGATATTTTACACTATATTTAATTTTTGTACTAAAAATTCAGTAAATCTCTCACAACTATTTTAATATTGTAAAACTATAAAAATTCCAATGATCAGTGAGAGAATGATTGCTCATCTTTTCTGATTCTAATTATTAATAATTTGAATAATTTTCTATACTGGGATTTCCTGTTTAATAAGCGATAAAGTAGAATTTTTTTTTGTTAATTTTTAGAATTAACATTTTTTTTTAAATATTTGGTTTTAGGCTAATATTGTTATTATATTTGATAAAATTGAGTTTCATAAAAATCTTATATATCTACTATTAAAATATTATGTATATAAAGAATCAAAAGAGAGAGAGGAAGTATAAATAATCGTTTGCTCCATTTTTAACAATAAATTTGATATTTTCTTCGTATTTTCTTCAAACTGTATATAAAAGTACCCAATAAACATAAAAAAAAAAATTTTACCTTATAAGCTTTTGATTGTATACCATATGATTTTTTAATGGTTTCAGCTGTTTTTGTTGCACCAGCCAAATCAATGTCAATAATAGCAACATTACAACCTCGTTTTGCTAATTCAATACAGATTTCTTTACCTAAACCATTTCCGCCACCGGTAACCTTTAATCAAAATAGAAAAAAAAATAATTAATTTGTTTGTTTTTTTTTTTCATCTTCTTTACGTTTTTTAACAGCTCATCGTACTTACCAATGCTATTTGACCTTCAATATTTTTTGGTTCAACACGTTTACTAAAAATATATTGAATGCAACTTATAAAAGTTTCAACAAATGTAATGTATAAAACTTTAATAACAAATTTTAAAGTTCTCTCTATATACGTAAATTTAGTCTCATTGCGCACATTACATTGCTGCACTGGTTTATCACTGTCCATTTTTTGTGTTTTTGTATGTACTTTTGTTTTAATTGTCAATTAAACAATTTTTGTTTTTTATGCTTACAAAAATGCAATATTCTTTCGAAATAAATTTTTTTAATTTTATAAAATTTCTGCAAGAAAAAAAGAGAAACAGAGAAAAATAACTGGTTTTTTTTTTTTATTGAAATTATAAAATTGTGTTTGAATTTAAAAAAAAAAAAATATTTTGTAATTTTCGTTAACCATAAACTATGAGCAAGATTTTAAAAATCGTAAGTTTTTTATGTTGTAAACCTATTTACCTACATAAAACAAAGACTGTTATTTTATTCACAATCTCCCGGTTTATGCGTATTCAATGTTGAACTGCTCGATAGCGACTATTGTAAATTATTTTGCCGAATAAAACTGAGCTTATCGCTAGAAACAAAAACAAAAAAAATATTGTTTTAAGCTTTTGATTTTTTTTTTGATATTATTTTTTTTTTTCTTTAAAAAATTTTTTATTTTGTAAGAAAAAAATATCTTGAAAATATCTTAACTGTATAAAGTTCGACTTCAGTTCGAGATAATTATTAAATATAAATTATATTCCTAGTATATTAAAAAATCTATACATTTATGTCTCGGATGACTTTAATGGCTATGGGTAAATTGGTGGTGCAAATAAGCTTTAACTATATTATACACGTGCATACATTCGTATAAAAAAGTACATACATACATACATATGTAACTAAATTATAATCAGGTATTTTTTTTATCTATGCAATAGGTATACATTTATACCGTAATAGTACCGCTCCATAATATATAAAAACAATTATTCGATTTAACAATTTTATTTTATGATTATTAGTTGCTTGTTGCTAATATTAAATAACTAATCTAATTTTATTAAATAATTTCACTTTATCATAAAGTAATTATAATTAATTATTAATTAGTAATTAACGGCATGTAAGATATGCAGTTCAAATGTACTTTAATAATATAAGAATTATATTAAAATATTAAAGAATGAGTAAAAGCCATTAAAACCGGTTATGTAAGTACTCGTTTTACAGCATACCCTTTTATAAAAAATTCATTTTTTTGTATTTGTGTTTTAATAAAATGTTTTCGTATATTATGGCTGAATAGCATTTAGCTTATGCATGTGAATGTCAAAATGAGCTTGGTAATTTACACATAATTGCATAAATTGATATTTACAAAATATTTACCTTTCCGAAAAGAACAAAATGTGAGTTGAAATAACACTACAAAATAATTTGTATCACACTTAATAAAATATTGTATGTTTATAAATTTAAGATTATTCCGTCTTAGTAAAAAATTTTTACTTGATATACGTACACTTACAAGAAAATCTTCTATATAGCACAGAGTTTTGCCCAGGAATACAATTGTGTTTTACTTAAACTTTCTCATTTTGTTATTAATTTTCTTTATATATACGAAAAAATGTAAAATGACACAGAAAAAATTCCAGTTCTCGACTCCTGATATATACCAAAAGTTGGTCAATACGTGACATATCCGAAATAAGTTTACTTTTTTTTTAATTTGAAAATTGCTTCAAAATCGGTTAAGCCGAATTTGAGATACATGTGTGCACCATAGACCAATATCTCTCGAAAAAATGGTTTACGTGCGCTTCTCTACTATGTAGAAGTTCGTTCCCACCGAAAACTCGAAATACGAAATTTGGTGCTATCACATATCTTCCCTTATTGTATGCAATGCAATCGATAAAAATTGATATTATATGACCATATAAAAAAAAAACTGTTCTTTTCATAGAAATACCAACTAAAATTAGACTAGATTTGAATTAGTAAGAAAGTTTTCTTTTGGATAAATGATTATAAATTTCAAGGCTAACGTTATGTCAATCTTACATTATATGAATAAAAAGTATTGAGCATACTTATATACCTAGTAAATAAAATGATCCATCATAATTCTAAGTCATATAACATTATGAACATAAAATTCGAAATTAATTGATTTAAGAGTTTGGTTGAAAACACAACAAATTTCTAATAAAAAAAATTTATTATTATGTACCTTGGCTTTAAATTATTTCAAAATATAGCAAGAATATTGAAAGATTATAAATAATTAATTTTATATTAATTTTTTTACACGTGCTTAATATTTGAACTACAATTAATCTCAAAATGAGTTGATTTGTATTTCTATGTAGGTAATTAAAATTATAATTTATAATAATTATTTATTATAACTTCTCTGTGCAACAGTAATTATTGTAATGCTTAAGGGTTATTTATTAAGATTTTAACCACATAGTTGTTATTCTAAATAAATTATTCACTACTATTATATAAACATTTAGAATAAATTATTCTAAAAACATTTAAAAATAATCTTCATACTTTGTTTATCCAAGACGATTAAACAAAAAAAATTGACCTATATAATGGAGTGTCATTTCAATTTTAACCTCATAGTATCTTAGAAAGATGGATGTGTTTAAACTCTGCTTGCGAGTAAAGAAGTCAAATATAGAACCCACTATTTGTAGTTTGGCTGCTGTAACGAAATATGTATGTATACTAATATTTACATAAATTTATAAATAATTTATTGTTTACTCTTACTGTTACCAAGTCTAGAATAATTTTAACAAGTGTGTGATAGACATTTTATAGCAGATAACTGTAAACTTTTGGTAAGTACCGTTATTATTTAATTTTTGAAACTGTATAAATGTATTTTTCAATAGACTACTACTGAGATGCTTTGAAGTCCCTTGCAAACCTCCTCGCTTTCAAACAATAAGTGCTCGAGCGTCCTCTTCCAGGTAGAGATGGCAGATCTCGCTCTCTGCCTTGCCTTTTCTTTTCCGATGGCCCTTGAGAGACAGTATCTGGCGAGTAACCCTACCAATAGCCTCAAATCTAGACGATCGAGTGTGGCAAGTTCCCATGTCCTCGGCCTAAATGAGATATAAATGTTTTGGAGGGAGGTAGGCCTGGTCAATAGTGCCAATGGTCGATCCCGGCCTGTTTCTCTCAACCATTCAAGGCGCAGTGAACCGTTGTGAACAAATCTAAAACTTTGGGACTCAATGTGTTAAAAAGCTAATATCGTAACACAAGCAATGTTGTTTTAATGTATATTAATGGGAGATTAAAAAAAAAAAATTATTCATAAATTCAAATCCAGAATAAAATTGATAAGTAGGTATATTCAAATAGTTCATTAAATTTTTCATAAAATAATTAATTCAATCAAGATTTTTATTATTTTTTTTTTCTTCCGAAAGCATCTAAAATTTTATTACACGTGTTTCTATAACTTTATGCACATTTTCGTTTTAATGCAAAAAGCTTAAGCACTTTAAATTTCAATAAGTTTTTAGTGTATGTAAACGAAGGCATGTACATATTATATATGTATTTGTTGTTTATAAATAGATTTATAAATTAAATAAAAAATTATCTTTTATTCAGCTGTTAACATTTTAATGTAATTCCACTGCATTTAAAGTTAAGGTTTACTTGAAACCAACTTGCAATTAAAGACAATTCTAATCAAGGGACATGTTTTTTATAGGGTCATTTATCTGCAAAGAAAATTAACTATGTTAATACAATTTTTTTCAAACAAAGATCTTGTAATTGGAATTGTTAATATGTAATTAAATTAATTATAATAATTGATGCAAATAAAATCCTTTAAGAAACGCGTTGCATAAAGTTTTTACACAAGTTTCATTAAACTGGTTTAAGTTATTTTTTAGTTACAGAATCTTCTATGACATTCGTAGCTATACACACCTTAATGAAACCATGTATATTGAGAACATATATTGTATTATTCACGTTTTAGTGCTTCACATGCCTCATAATAAAATTTTAATGCTTTTATATATTGTTTGTATTTCATTTTTATTGTTGCATATTTAAATATTATACACGTCCACGCAAATATTCAATTGCTTGATTAAATGATTATCAGCCCATGTTAAAACCGATTACAAATTTTTTCTCGAACTATCCCACAGACATATATTTGACTTAATAATTAGATAGAATAAAATGTGGTATAATGGGAAATCTTTAAGAAAACATAATTAAACCAAAATTAGTTCATTCTAAAAATATTTATAAATAAGAAAATTAAGCTTTAAAGATATAATAAAAATCCATTTTGGTTTTTCTTTCTTCACTCCAAGGAGGAGCATAGGCCTAGTGTATGGTATCGGAGATAGTCATTCTCCAGTTTTATTGCGTCAGATAATTTTAATTATGTAGGTGACTAGCCTAGCCGTAGGTTTTCCTTTATAATAAAAGTATTTCAGGTTATTCATATTTATTGTTTATTTTTCTTAGTTTGATATCGAGTATTACATTATGAAGTTGTTTACTAATTTTTTATGAAGTTGTCTTCATAAAGGATTTTATTCGTAATATATGGGCATAGAGAGGGCAAAATAGCGGGTAATTAAGGACAGACTAAAATATTATATAAAAATTAAATTCAAAATAGTTTCAAGTTTTCAAATATTATTCGTTCCATTATTATTGATCGACTTCCGGAATATAGAGCGTTTAATTAATATTTAACGTTTAACTCACATTTTTGTGAGCAGCTAGGTCTTAAACAAAATAGATTCGTATAAAATTTTTAGCTTTTATTCATTTTTAATTAACATGAACTGATCAACTTTTTCCGTAAAAAATAAAAATTAAATAATAAAATTTTTGAATCAATTGAAATTTAGGAATAAGTTGTTGAGGAAAGATAGTTATAATGAGTAAAGTCAAAATATCCAAGATTTTTACCATAAAATTAAAAATCAACAATTTATTCAATAAAAGGAGTAATTCCGACGGTATTTTCTTTAATTATTACTTCTGTTTTTTAGTTTAGTGATTAATACAGTTCAAATTTTAAAAAATTGTATACTTTCAAAAGATTTTTGCTTAAACAATTTTCGCAATTTAAGAATAACATAACACTCAAGAAAAAATTTTTGTGAGTCTGAATATTAATATATCATTTCAAAGTGTTATTATAATTTACGAAAATTCATCATTTTATCCAAAAAAAACATTTGAGTCAATTTAACCCAATGTCTGTATAATCAAGTTAGAAAAATAACCAGAAGGGACTTAGCACAGAAGGGACTTCTGAAAATAAATAGAGCACTGAAAAATTATTTAAGTATGATTTTTTTCGATTAATCTGTATTAACGAAAAACTGTAGAACGTTCTATATAATTTAAAATTTATTAAATATGTGAAAGTACTGCAAGAATTGAATTGATATTTCCATAGCATTTACATAATAAACCTATAGTTGAAGTAATTGATTTTGTTACTAAAACTAAATGCAAATTTCTATTTCATCTCTCTGAGTACTTTCATATTCGGCACATACTCGTAAAATATAAAA